GCTGGGTTGAATTTGTAAAGCTGCACACAAAATGTAGGGAGCAATAATAAGAGTAAAGCCATGAAAGCAAGAATGGAAGGGAACGAATGAGTGGAGGGAGAAAATATTAGACCTGATGCTCAGAATTGCCTCTTACCCTCCCATTGCTTTGGCCAGATGCTAATCATTTTTTCCATAATAGCCTTCTCTCTAGGTGCCTTTCATGTTGATTCAACTACCTCCAAATCCATCTCTCATATTCCTAAGACTATAGCATTAGTCTCCCTAGAACACCTGCTTCAGTGTGTCACTGTCCTGACTGGGATCCTGTCCTTCTCTTTTCTGACTGTATCAAGTTAGAACTTGTCAGTTTGCCTTAGGGGAGGTTCCATAATCTAGCCCAAGGTGGTTTCTTATGTCTTCCCTAAATCATAGCATTCTAGTAACTCTGTTTTTGTTCGGATGATGTTCCTAAGTCGCCTTCACCATATTCCTCTTCATCCCATGCACTGACATTGCACTTCTGCTGTTCTTCCTTCCATCCATCCATCCATCCATCCATCTGTCTATCCTCCCTCTCCACAAGCATCTACTAAACACCTACTACCTGACAAGCACTGTCATGGAAGAGCTCACAACCCATTAGAGGAGATGACCCGTGACAACTAATAATATTTCAATCTGATACAACCCCAGCTGTGCTAGGTACCAACTATTATGAAGACGCAGAGAAGAAAGGTGTGAACAGCATGAGTCAGGGAAGGTTTAACTCAGGATCTAGGATCTATTTGATCTGAGAAAGGTATTTCAGGCAAAAGAAATAGTATATGCTAAATTCCATCTTTTCTGTTCTTAGGTCTTCCATAGTTTGTATTTACATCATGAAACTCACAATTTTGGTATTTACAGTATAAAATACATCATTTATAACCATATTACGTATCTCAGATTATGAACTTCTTGACAGGCCGGTTTATGTATGGTACTTCTTGTGAATTTCAACACTTAGCACCGTGCTGAGTGTTAGGAACTAGTAGGGACCACAAAGATACTGACACATTGATCTGATAGTCTACTAGCATTTATGGGCCTTTTAGTTTTTACTAAAAGGGAAGGAACCAAATATTTACTATATGCGTATATGTTCCTTCATTTAGAAAGATTATTCAGACAGTGAGATGCTTTGAGAAATGAAAGTATTTGAAAAAGGAAGATTAAGACCAACTTCCAGGCAGCAAACCAAAAATGACTGAAGGGGATGCCTTTGATGGGGGATCTGGTCACTCACTAGGTCGTGCTCCTGAAGCCTCTCTTTTCATGAGCTCTCAGTGGATATACCATTTTACTGGGCAGTAATGATGTCTATACTTTATTGATAACATTGTGCTGAGATTCATCAGGAACCTCCTCTTAAAAAAGGCAGGCAGGGTCAGTGGGGAAGAGTATGTGACAGTGGGGAGAATGAGGCTGGTGAAACTTCTTCATCCTGGGTCTGCATGTTACTACCTGTGTAGCACTGGGCAAATTTCTTAAACTCTCCAGGTCTTAAATTTCCTTATCTATAAAGAGGAGATAATAACAGCTACCTCATAAGATTACATAAGATATTAGACACAACATTCCTAGTACACAGAAATGCTCAATAAGCCTCCCTCTCCTGTAGTATATAGTCTGTTAAACCTTAAGAATTTAATAGTTTCAGATATGACCAATAAAAAAAGTGTTTTCTTTGGCAACATCCTACATAATAGAAATTGTGTTTCCTCAAAAGTCAGCTCTGGTTGATGTTACAGTGTTAGTTGTTCGACATATTCTTGGAAGACTAACATTGTTTATAGATGTTTCAGTTTTCAAACTTAAAAAATAAATCCAGCTAGGGAAATTGTCATTCCTTAATCATGAAGGATATCAACACAATCCTGAAATTCAGATTTCTGTTTTGAATTCTTTTGCTTAAGCCACTAGACCACTTTTTTTCTTTAATGTCAAAAAAGAGACATTTTTTTACAGGAGGAAATTAATTATTTTCTTTCTCGGTTTCAGCAAGAAGTACATTTATTATATGTTAACAAAGTTTTATTCACTTTTACCAACTGAGAAACATTTAAGGCATTTCATTATTTATGGAGAAATTCTTCATCAATCAGAAATTTAGCTGCCACCATAAAGAACTTCACAATTAGTCTCTTATATCATGGGTGTGACTGATAATCTCTACACTAAAAAATTATTAAATATAAGGAAAAACTATTCATAAACTGTAATATTTCTTGGCAAAGAAAAACTGCTTTGTGTTTTTAAAGATATGGTTGAGAATTTAAATGAAACTTACACGCTTGAAATTAGTGCCAGATGCAACCCAACTCAAGCACAATTCACTAGCTGCTTCAGGTATTTCGCTGTGATTTAGTAAAAGGTATTCAACAATTCTGTGTTTCATAGAAGGCTCACTAATACAAGTATTTCATTCACAAAATGCATGGCTTGGCAGGTTTCCAGGACAGGAATTTGCTGAAGGGAAGGTAAATTTATTGATTAAAATAAATCAAAGGACTGACATTTTCCTAGAAAACGGGCCAAACAATAATATTCAGAAACTGAAAGTCTTCCAATCAGAACCAGAAGAAAGTCTGAGCTGTTATTTATGTTTATTATAGGAATCCAATAACATCAGGGTAAACAATCAGGTATTTTAGAACTCTCAAATTAACATTGAGAAACCAAATTTTAAAATACTACATATTTTTGTATTAGGGCCCTTTGATAATCTTGTATATGAGATCTTGTGTTTGTTAGCCTTTGGAATAGTTATATTTTATATATTGATATGCACTGCATAATAAGCATTCTTTGATGGAATACATACAGAAATAATCCAGATATTTCTGGAAAATGCCAACATCACTGCCTTCTTATCCCAAGCCTCAGTTCTTCCCCTTCTCCTCTTTCTTTTCCCATCATCGATTGTTATGGACCGAATGTTGGTGTTTCCCCAAAATTCACGTTGAAGGCTGCCTTAAACCATAGTGTTGCTGTATTGGGAAATGGGGCTTCTAAGGTAATTGAGGTTAAATAAATTCACAAGGGTAGAACCAGGATCAATAGGATTGGTGTCCTTTTAGGAAGCCAGAAGAGACACCTGAGAGCGCCCACAACCTGTGCACACAGAGGTCAAGGGAGCACAGAGGGAAAGGATGCTGCCTCTGAGGCAAGAGAGAGATCAAAATGAAACTGAATTTGGACTTTTCAGCATCTGCAGGCTTGAGTAATAAATTTCTGTTGTCCAAGCTAGTCAGTGTGCAGTATTTTGCTACAGCAGCCTGGGCCAACTAATCAGCAATTAAGAGGCCTAACGCAAACAGTTACAACAGCATTTTCACATACCATTGCTTAATTTTTTAAAGCATTGGATTCAAGGAAAACCCAGAAAAGCTAAATAGATTTGAGTTTCATACAGATTCTTAAATTATTCAGCCTTGCTTCTATTCCAGAATCAGGTAATGTGAACATAAGAAGGGACCTCAGCAACCCAAGTTTATTGATTCAGGTATAACTATGATTCTGGGGGTTACAGAAAACCACTCTATGAACTTGATACATTTTCTGGAAGATGTTGGAGGTAGGGTGGGGTAGTGGATAGTTAAGTAAAAGGCTTAAACATCTGTTTATGTTAAACAGAGATATATTATTCGGTGTAATGCAAAATTTTTTGAAACATTTTTTTATGTTTCAAAGAAATGCATCACTGATACCAACAAATAGCTAAAACTGAAAATTACTATCAGCCAGGTAATGTGTTAAATGGTTTAAGTATATGGTAGTCCCCTCTGTCTCCTGGGAATACATTCCAAGACCCTCAAGAGATGTTTGAAACCTCGAATAGCACCAAATCCTATATGGTTTTTTTTTTCCCCCCCAATCTGGTAACTGTGATGGCTGCTAAATGATTAACGGGCTAGTAGCATATATAGCGTGGTATATTGGATAAAGGAATAATTCGCACCCCTCAAGATTTCATCATGCTGCCCAAGTGCACAACTGCAAACCTATGGCTTGTTTATTTTTGGAATTTTCTATTTAATACTTTTTGGTCAACCTATGGTTGAACACAGGTAACTGAAAACAGTTACGCGAAATCTGCAGGGCGGGGGTACTGTATTATCTTATACAACCATCAAAACTTATTGACAAGTCCTCTTCGTTTTATCACAGAACACTATTTGGGAAAATGCAAGCATTTCTAAAACGGCCCTCCTCTCATCCTTAGCACATTACCCTATGTTCTTTTCTTCAGAGTGCTTTGCTCTTTGTTTTTTAACTCCTGCTCCCCAACCTTCTCAGGGTGTAACACAGCGCCCTCCACGGAAAAGGAGTTCGGTCAAGTTTTGGCCGAGGCCACACGGCTGGTCACTGAAGCATTCTGGGCTCCGTCCCCGCGAGAGCAGGTGCTGGACCCTGCTAACCAGAGGCTGCCACGGAGCCTGCTGTAACGTGGGCGCTCAAACACGTTGGGGATGGCGAAGAAGGAAGAAAGAAGAGAAGGAAAGATGAAAGGAAGGAAGGAAGGAAGGGGAAAGGGAGGGAGGGAGAGAGAGAAAGAAAGGGTGAGGCAGGAAGGATAAATGAATGAAAACATTCGCGGAAGGACCCAGAGAGCCTTGGCGACCGTCCGCCTCCCGGTGGCACCAACTCAGTTCGATGTCTACGTCAGCACTTCCTCACGCAGATGCACTGGTGTACGGCACGGGATGGAGAAAGAACAAAGCCTTAAAACGTAGGGGAGAAAGGCAAAAGCTGTATAACTGGGGGGTGGGGGGGGGCGAGAAGAAAGAAACTAACTGCTTCCTTGAAGTGAAGAGAAAAGCAAAGCCGAGCGAGGCCGGTTGCCATGACGACTATAAGGCCACAATCGTCCCCGCCTATTGGCTGAGACGCCGGAACCAATGAGAAAGCACGATGTTGGCGGGGTCATAAGATGGCTGCCGGGCCGACGCTTCCTGCCCGGTGAGTACGGCTTATTGCGGGCTGGTTATCGGCCGGCTCGGGCTCTGGTGTGGCGGGTCCGTGAGGTCCCGGTGCGGGCAGCTGAGGGAAGTGGCGTGGGCGGCCTCGCAGCTCCTCCTATGAGCCGCCGGGAGCAGGTAAGAAAAGCCTCCGGCCCAGGCCCACCGGAGGATGGCGGGGCTGCCCTCGCTTTCTTCGAAAGGGGCGTCACGGTGCCTTCTCTGGCCTGTTAGTAGGAGAGGGTTTCTCCATCCCACCCCAGCCAAAGAAAGAGGGATTTGAGGAGGATTTGAATGGGGAAAACGGGGATCATGTTTACAATTGACGTGTTCTAGAAACAGCTCCAGTTCCTGGGAATGTCAGCAGGCTAGACAGCCTACGCCGGGATCCGCGGCGCCCGGTTCTGTGTCCGGGCGGGAAGTCTCCCGGTTTGGAGATTCGAGTGTGGCACTCGAGGAAAAGGTGTACTTTTCTAGAGCCACCCTCTTGCAATCTTGAACCTTGTGAGTAGTCTCATAGCAGAATTGACTTAAAGGAGCCTTGAAATGTTACTGGTTAATTGCAAATCTCACCGTGCTGGTCTGGGGAAGTGTTTTCCAGGCCTCCACTGAACAAACACTTTCTTTAATTAAAACATATACATGCAAAATCCTGCTAAATAGTTTATCTGGATAAGCAGTTAAATTCGAACTCAGGCCTGTGATTCCCCTGTACTTTCCGTACCCTTTTGAGAAAGGGCAACACATTTGTTTCATAAAAGTGAATGGGACATTTTCGTTAATGTCTCCATGTTTTAAAATATTTTAATTAACCAGTTCCAAATCACAGGCTGATTATTGTGTAATTATTTAACAAGATCTTCAAATTGGTAAGGGGTGATTTATGCCTTGTCAAGTAAGATTAGTTTTAGATCAGACAAGGTTCAGATTTCTTGGATAATTCCTAATTGAATAGGAAATATGGGGGAGGATTAGACAGCTACATTCGATGAAAATAGAATTTAAATTCTGAAATATTAAAGATAGAAAACGTTTTGGCCATTAAACTCCTTAGACACATCTTTCAAGTTTTAGTTATAAGCTGCTGCATGGTCTACCAGACAATATGACACTATTACTCAAACCTCTGGACGTGATTTTTGATGTTTGCAATTTAGTATAGCATCTTACATAGCTTAAATGCAGAAAAAAGTTCTTCTTAACCATATTTTAACAAATCTGTAGTTAGAGGCTATAATTATTCTTCAGATCCACTCACAAATCTTGTCTTCAAGAATGTTACCACTTAGAACTTTGGCCTCTAAAAGTTCATAATTTAAAGCCATATGTACCTACTGTGAAAAAGTGGATTACAATGCATTAGGCAGGTAGCCTTACCTGTAAAAGGGGTATACAGAATAATTCCTAGTGGAAGGATTGTTATGAGGATTAATGGTAGATCAAAGCTTGCTACTGTGTTTGTTTGCCATGTGTAGCAGTGACCTGCTTTGTTTCCCCTTTCTGGTTCTGTTTCTTCTGTTTTCTGCTGTAACTAGACTTTCCTTCCTCTTCTCTGTGTCTTTCAGATGCAGTCTTTCAGAAAACTAGTAATGACTAGGCTGTGTAGAGGAGAGAAATCTTTATCTATTGGGGTATTGAGGTTTAATCAGAATTGCATCTCACTAGGAGAGAATGGAATGTTACAGGAAAGAGTGAGTGATACGGGTCTGGGCATTTGGGGTACTTTCAATATTAATATCATAAAGAGATATTTTAGAGCTGCAAGACAGCTCAGAGATCATCTTATCAAACCTTCATTTTGTAGCTTAAGAATGGAGACCCAGACAAATACAGTGGCATGCCCCTAATCACATTGCTCAGGGCTAGAAACTGTCTTCTGACTTTCAAGACTGTGTTTTGCTCCCACAACCAATGGTTTCCAATCTTTGCAAAACCTAGAACCATTTTTATTATAATTTGGTATCTCTTTAGTTGCTGTATTTTGAAAGATTGTTTCTACCTATACTCATTGTTTTTCTTATAAAATTCAGGTCCATAGCTACCTGAGTCCCTGATGAACATGTGGTGAAGAATAATGCTTCATTGAATTTGTATCTCCTCACTTAATGATGGATGGATACTGTGTTACTAGGAGGAATAGTAAAATACGTTAGGCTTTTTGAATATGGAAATTGGCTTAAAGTTCCCCATTACCATCTTCATAAAATTTGTCAAAACCTTAGATTAGGAACTGATGAACTGTACCCTGTTCTTAATGCATTATTATCTGACTAAATGTACTAAATAATGACTTTGGTTGATTTTCAAGGGCAAAAGAAAACATAGCTATTCAGATTAGGCCTGTACATACAGATTTTCAGTTCATAGTAAATTGTGTCAGGCCAGGACTAGAGCTGCCTTCTGTGTTGTACACCAGAATGTTATTTGAGAGTAATTGTGGGATGGAATAAATCTTGAGCCTGCAGGTAGAAGGAACATAAAATGAAGACGGTGATGTTCAAAACCTTAGTGAGAAAAAAAAAAGATTCTGAATTATTTACATTTTCCATGGGGCTTAAATAATGAAATAAAGAAGTTATTTGTGTTACAGATTAGAAAAATGAAATCTCATGATTTAATACCTTGGCTGTCATAAGGATCTGGCTATAATCTACACCAAAAAATTAAGTTTCTATTTCTCTGGGATCCCACATCTCTTAAGTTTCTTTTTCTCTGGGATTACTTCACATTTTCACAGATAAAGAATGATTTGGAATTATGTGTTTTAAAAGAAAGAAATACACTCTGAAAGGCATGAGTAAAAGATACTTCGAAGAAATAAAAGAATTGTTCTTCAGAGCAGCTAAAATGAGAATAATAGGAGGCCTAACATGGTCCCACTTGGAAATTGTCTGAATGACATATATATGCTATGAATAGAAGGACGGTGTTTTCAAACCTTAGCCCAAGGCAAAAGTCACTAAGCAGTCTCCACATATTGGCTGACTTGTGATTGAGCCGCCTTTTAGACGGGCAACTCCCTTGATAGGCTCCACAATGAGTGGCAGCGATTATCTGTCTTGTGTCTCCTGAGTCTTTCTTGTATTTGTTTTATTTGTATTGTTTTGTTTTTTTGACAGTCACTGGGAAATGGCTCCTGACTTTAAATATTTTTAAAAACTGAGTTCAGGAATATATTTTGTTTGAATTTTGCCTTATTTTATGGATTTGGAGTTGGATTCCACTTTTTAAAAGCTATTTAATTTTTCATTTTTATATGGGTACACTTAAGAAATTATCATACCAGGCAAATGCCACATTGAGGACAGTTCTTAATTCCACATCAGCAGGAGCTAAAAATAGATAATCCTGAGGAAATCCACATAGCCATCAGAAATGCACAACTGCTTAAAAGTTTATTTAAAAATAAAATAATAAATAAATAGACATCCCTTCTCCAGGGCAGCAGAGACTGCTCCCTAGAGAAAAGCACTTTAGGTGCTCAGAACATAGACTCACATGCAGAGATGCGTGGTCCAGCAGGATACATGTGCCTCTGCCCGGCGGAGAGGCAGGTGCCTTTTCATGAGTAGTTACATCTGAGGTCCAAGGTGAGTGATACTTGGCTGCTGATGGGCAGAAACTTGCCAGGATTTTTGATCATTTTATGTATTTCTGTCCTCCAGGGTCTGGAAGAGTATCTGGCACATAGTAGGCATGTAAAAGATGTTGTGGGCAGGAAAAGAAGACCCCAGTTAGCATCACTATTTATATTAAAAGAACTCTGAATGTGAAATGTTACTGTCCTGAAGTCCTTAAATGGATAATGAGTTGGAAGGTATATGCCAGTCTCAAGTCAGGTTGGAGCCTATTATTGTACCCCTCCTTTGCTACTTAGAACAGTAGAAATTTTTTTATTAATAGTATAACATCTGTTTTCTCAAATTGGCATATTTTACATGATGTCTTTTGTGCTGTCAAAGAATCTTAAGAGTACCTTCATCCCCACTTTTAAACCACAGTGAGGTTTAGGGATGAGTCTAGGTTTGGGGGGACCTGGGAATTATAGAATTTTGGGTCTCTTCTTTTAAAAATGCAAATTATTGCTGTGGAAGGACCTGTGCAAATGAGGAGCCTTGACGTTTAAGCTCCATCATCTTCTGGTAATTTGCCTCTATTTTTAGTGCTCCCTTCAGAAAACCAAATACTAAAATTTTTAATAGACACTTCATGGCAGACAGTGGATATCAGGGAAGTAAAAGATTTGCTTCAGTTCCTAAGTGAGCGCACCACAAATATTAGAAACTTCAAAGCTATCCTATGAACCCTGCCTCTGATAATAGAAATGATAAAAATGCAATACCTGGCCACTGAAATAATAATAGCAAAAAGAACTTAACATGTATTGAGCCCCTAGGCCCTCCTAAATACTGTGTTGAGGGGCTTATCTCATTTAATCCTCAGAATAACCCTATAAGCAGTATAATTAACCATGCATTGCAGATAAAGAAACTGAGGGTCAGAGATGTTAAATGATTTCCTCATATGAGGTGGCAGAGTCAGGATTCCAGTTGGAGTGGTTGGATGCCAGAATCCTTCCTCATAAAGAGCCAAGAGAATATTTGGTGAGACTATTTTAGAGAGCCAGCACCTGATGAGGTTGGAGCAAAAGCAAAATGTAAGATCTGGTTCTTTAGACTTAGAATGAGGTCCTTCCGAGGTAACAGAAATCTGTTACTCAGCGTAGTACAGAGTCCCCTGATGCCTGTGTCTCACAGTGTGGTAATGGTTTTCTTACTAGCCTAATCACAATATGGGAAGGAAACTTGGTAAAACAGATTTCTGTTCTGCTTTATTCCTTCAGATTGGTAGTAAATTGTGAATGGCACAGTCGAACTCTAAAGACATTATTTTGAAGGGACTGGTTTTGGCTTAGTATGTATTCCAAAATAGACTGTGCAATGGAGACCAATGAAAATGTACTTTTCAATGTCTGATTTTTAAAACCACTTTTATTAAACTTAACAGCAGTTGATGGTTCTCTCTACCAGTGGGCTGAATGGCCAATGCTCAATGTTATCTTGAACTTTAACATTAGTTTCCCAAATACAGTATTGTTATTCAAAAAAGCTGTATGTTTCTGTTAAGCTTTTGGTATTATCTTTTGTTTACTATTATTTTAGCAAATAGTATTACATTTAAAACTAGGACATTCTTTTTACATACCAGACCTTCCTCAAAATTCTTACATAGTTTAAAATTTTTTCTTTAATTATTTTTCTGCTGCTAAGACAATAAGCTCCCTTATTAATTAAAATACAGATGAAATATCATCTTTATTTTCTCTAATTGATAAGGCTTGAAATTTAATTTTTTAATTTGCCTACAAAATACATTATTAGGATCTTATTTCTTGAGCAATGAATGCTTTATTGAATTTTTTTAGGTAAAACTATCCATATATTAGAGAATTATGTTTCTTCTTTTATCTGTAGGTATGTGTTGTAAGCACCTTGTTTAAACTGCTTTTAAACTGTTTTTACACAGGGAAGATTATGATTATTTTAATGTGGAGGATTTCTCTCATCCCATTTAAAATTACAATAAATACAAAACTTTAGATGAACTGTTACCAAACCAGTGTTACTATGTATAATCATTAGGTTCCTGGATTGTCTTCTAATGGTTTTAAAATCATTTCTGTAGCTATTCTGCATGTCTAAATTAATCTTTTTCCTCTTAGAAGAAAAGATGTGGAGTGGGCTGCTACCTCCTGGCCTAAATGAAAGTGATATTGAGTCAAATTCTGAAGATGAAGCTCCATTAGAGGACTCTGGACTTAACTTGCAGGAAAATAAAGAGGATGGAAACATTAGAAAAACAGAAACCTTGGATTTCCCAACAGATGGTTCAAAAACTGAAACAGAGGCAAATGTAAATGCGTATGAAGAATGCCCTTCTGGAATTCCCTTAAATGTGTGGAATGTAGGTTTTCTCTGACATGCTTGTTAGAGCCTGTGGGGGTGGGGGGGTGCATGCTCCCTGTGTGTCTCTGTTGGTAAATATGTTCTTGAGACCTAACAGGGATGATGGACTCAGAATACTTTACCATTCTCTGAGACATTGACTACTTAGATACTTGCCTTTACTTTTGTTTTGTTTTCATAGAAAAAAGAAGAGGGGGGAAAAACACTATATAGGGTTAAGCTGTTTTGCCTAACATGATATATGAAGAATTTCTGTCTTCATTTTATCTCTTTATTGTCTATGGACCTGTTGTTATCTATATAAAATACTGAGATTCACTCCAAATTAGTTGGCTTATTTAGACAATAATGAATATCAAAACTCATGTTGAGAGAGTCTCAGAGAGTATTGTATCTCAGAAATTGACTACTTTTATTAAATTGTTACCTTTATACCTGCCAAGGATATAATAGTTTTTATTACTTGACACATTTGTTATTTTTTAAATACATGTTTTTCTACAAAGTATATTTGCTTCTTAATTTTTTTCTTTTACATAGAAATTTCAAGAATTGCATAAAAAACATTCTGAACAGAAAAGCTCAACATCAAGATTCAGAAGGAAAAAAAGAAAACACTCCAGAAAAGGTGTTTTGTTTTAATTTAGATTGTCAATAGTATCAATGCTAAATTGTGGCTGAGTTCAATAATTTTTTGAAAACATGATTTTGAAATAACCAAGTTTACATGTACTGACACTCTGTGAATTCGTTTCAGGTAAATTGAAGGAAGAAAAAGAAACTCCTAGGTGGGTAGAATTTAAAATGGTTGTTTTAGACAGTTGTAGAACTTATCCAAATAATTGTCTCTGATATGCTCAAACATAAGAACTAATAGTTGTAATACAATTGTAGTAACCAATTAAAAAGGTAATATAATTATAGTAACAATTAAAAACACTGCAAATAAAAAATGAGTACATTTTATATAAAACAAAACTTATTATCTCTTCTTGTAGTGAACAGCCCGCAAATGAAACCCACTGGAAGGAACTTACTCAGTATTTTGGAGTCAATGACAGATTTGAACCCCCTGTTAAAAGGAAAAAAGTTGAGAAGGTAAGTAAGGTCTTTTTTATTGTATCTTATTTTAGCTAGTAGGACATGTTTGTGATTAGCCTTTCCTGAGGTACTTGTCCTCATTAATTATTCGGTTAAAAAGTTAAAATGCCCACTGTGTACCAAAAAGATGATAGATGAAGTAAATATGTAGTTAGAAATCATTAGAAAATGTCAAGAAGAAGAACAACAGGTTGTGTGAAAAGGTTAAAATGGGTACCCCACTTTAGCTTGGGTAGTCATCCTTTACTGGAAAATGCCATTTCACAGAGACCTTAAAGGTGAGAAAGAAGCCATCTCTATAAAGAATGCTAGTGCTGAGGTTTGGATAAAGATCCTCAGGAAGAAAGAGTGATCCTGGGATATTTGGCTAACTGTAAGAAGATCAGCCTGACTGGGATGGTGTCAGCAAGGAGGAGAATAGCCAATGATAAGACTAGAGAGGCAGGCATGGGGGCCAAACTCTGTAGAACCTCAACAGGCGGAGTCAGGACGTGGGTTTTATTCATAGCGCAGTCAAGATTCATTAAGAGGTTTTAAGTCAAGAGAGTGACATGGCCTAATTTATGTTTAAAGGATTGCTTGGCTGTTATATGGTGAATTGATTATAAGGCAGCAAAAGTATATGAGAAAAAGACAGTTAAGAGACTTCTAGGCAGATGAGGATGGTAGATTGAATAAGAGTAGTGCTACTGAAGATGGAGAAAAATGGATGGATTTGAGATAACATGCAGAAGTTGAATTGACGATATTTGCCTCTGGATTGCTTATGAGATGATAGGGAGGAGGAGAGAACCATTCAGAGTTTTGCCTTAGATGGTGATGCTAGTTACAAAGGTAAAGTTTGGGAAGGGAAGGATTTAGGTTGAAGGTAATTCAAAGTTTAGGCATGGTTGTTATTATTGGAACAGAGTATTATGGAACATGGTTATCATAATGAGGTAGTGTCTCAGGATAGTCTGAGCTTGAGATACACATTTGGATTGGTCAGTTTGTAGATATATTAATGTTGAATAAAGGCTTGGATTAATGAGTAGCTCACATTCACATAGGTGAATGTTGATGGGGAAATGCTAGTCAACTCAGAAAATCAAGTTTTTAGTGGTAGAACTAGAGGTGCAGGGGGCTAGATGAAGCCCAGGTATGTTGAATTCTGTGTTTACAGACAGACACCTTTTTCACGGCTCATTGCTGTAGCCTACTACTGTGTGTACTTGGAGATCTTAGCCGTTATTCTGATTAGTCAGCATTTCTTGCGAGAAAAACCTCTCATTGTCAGTCCATTATTGGGTGGTGGTGTGTCATTGAGAGCACATTCATTAGTGAACTGTCACAACAGAATTTTGCAGGTGAGTTTTTTGATTCCACCTTTGCAAAGAATTCTTATCCAAAAATAGTCCCTAGAACACATGGCAGTGGGTACCTACTATTTGTGGGTAACCTCCTTTTTACAGTGTTTTCCAGAAATGCTAAATTTCTTACAAAGAAAGATCATTGGTAGAGTTGAAATTAAAATCTAGGTTTTCTGACACCTTTCTCAGTTTCCTAGGCTCACTGCAAAAAGGGGTGGTAGCTGTTTGCCATGTTCTTGACGTTTGTGGTTTTGGTGGCCTTTTGAAGGGAGATGTTCCTGACTATATGTAATATGTTGCAAAGTAGCAGGGAAGAGGACCATCCTGACATCCTTGGCCATGTGCCGTCTCTAGCAGACCTGCTCAGCCACTGACTAGCTTGTTCTTTTGACAGAAAGAATGTTAAATATTGGTACTATTAGGAAATAATTCTAAAGTTTTGCTTGTGAATTAGATCTTCTTTGATTTTCAGATATTTATGGTATTTGTTATATTATCTCATGACTATAATGACTTTAGAATGTCTAATTGTTTCTTGTTAAGATAAAGCCATGAGATGAACTTTGTAGCCATTCCAAAGAGTAGATAGAAATTCTGAGAATTTCTTTTACAACTTTATTAAATTTTATTATTATCTTGCATATTAAATTGTACCTTCCTGATAATGGCCAGAAATGGCTAACTCATTATCTAGACTTTGGAATTTGTGTGGAGTTCCTTTAATATAGGATAGTAGGCTTCTTTATGCAAACTCTTTTAAACAACTTGAGTTTTAGGAACTAGTGTTCTATTTTGTGTTATGCATTAAATGTGTTCTAGAAGAATATTATAAGTCAAACACCATTTGAAAAATGAAATCTCTGATTCAGAGAGATTGTCATTAGGTCCTAATGATCTGTTTAATGTTTGGGTTTTCTTTCTTTTTTTTTTTTATTAAATCGTAGCTGTGTACATTAATACTATCATGGGGTACAGTGTGTTTTTTTATATACAGTTTGCAATACTTTCATCCATCTGGTTAACATAGCCTTCATGTCATTTTCTTAGTTATTGTGTTAAGATATTTATAGTCTACATTTAGAAAGACTCACATGTACCCCCATAGGATAAACCATAGACGTGATCCCACCAATCACTCTCCCTCCACCCATCCTTCCCCCTCCCCTCCTCTCCCCTCTCCCCATAGACATTTCTTCATATAAATGGCATCTGGCTAAGTTGTGGAGGTCTTCTAAACAAGGAGACTGAGCTGGCTAGGCTTATTATCTGTCCAGGACTTTGCCAGTACTTAGCACCCTTCAAATAAATGCAAGCATAAAAGGAAAGGAAGGATTCACTGAAGCCAGATTCTTGCATATTCTCTTTATGGTTCAGTATAATTGCATGCCAGCAGGTTCACATTCATTGTTTGGTTTGGGATCAATGTTTTATATGGCATCCCTTTTGCTGTTCTGCTAAAGTCTCTACCGTTAATACAACAGAGTAAATAAACTTGAAGAATGTCCACATTGGTGGCACCAAGATAAAAGCTAAAAATAAATCTAAGTCTAGCAGATAGTAACTATTGCTCACAAAATCTATTGAGGATCATGAAAATCTCTGATGCAGTGTGTACAAAACTAGCATGGATTTCCATTCATTGTTTTGTTTCTCTGGAGCAGAGGTTGATCTGTTACCATATCTCACAGAGCCTTTTTATTTTGTATTCATTCAACCTTCTAGAGAATGGTAAAACAAAACAAACTTCTTAATCTTGTGTCTATCGTGTAGTCTTTTTCTTTTTCTTTTTTTTTCTCTTCTTTTTCAGTTTTGGAATACTGCCAAGCTGAAACTGTTGCTCAACCAAGAATGTCTATTTACAGCACTGCTGTCACCTGCTTCCCAGACAATGCAGAGGCTTGTAGTTTTTAAATGTAATCTTCCTAATATCCAAAGCTGTTTTAAAATGTTCTTTGTATTAACTACAGCTATAATTGTGTTTCTGGCAGCAGTTCTGGGACTTATAATAATAATTCTGTAATCATAACATAATTATTTTGAATCTGTGGGAATTTCTTTAGAATAAATTTTACTCATTAATTTCACTATAAATGTCTCAAGTATTCTTTGGTTGAGCCAATTTGATTAGTCAGCAGTCATTACTGAAGTTAGTTTTATGTATACCTAATGGGTACTTTTTGGCATGAAAAGCCAGAGGTAATTTTAGAGTGATTGTACAATGTCTTTGATGATTTTTAAAAGTTGTTAGAGAGGAAACTGCTACAGTATAGCTTTTCAAACTTTTTTTTTTTAAGCGGAATGCCTTTTCTAATCTGACATTTACTTGGTACTCCAATACATAGATCAGTTAAAAGACTTGCTGCCTTGAGTGAATGAGGGAGACAGTAAGGGTGTTGTGGTATGAGTACTCTCCTGGTATCAGTTAAAAAGCATTCTCTCTTGATCCCTATGTTATTTATCCCTGTGGGGGGAGTAGGCAGGACTAATATAAATCTCATTATACAGATGAAGAAACTAAAGGTTAGCATAATTTGTTTAGGGAAACAAACAGCTGGTAAGTGAAATGAGACTTTAAACCCAAATCATTGGTTCTAAATCTAGATTTTTCTGAAATAATAGTTGAGCTGAGTTTTTGCTAAACTAACTCAACTGATTTGAGTGGGTATGATTTATATAGAAAGGTAACAGTCATACATAAATCATGACTTATACAGCATGTCCATAAAGTTCATGTGCAATTTTCTATGTTAAACTATTTAAATTTGCACACAAACTTTATGTCCACCCTATATATATATAAGGGTAGCTCTTCCTCTTCCCCCCCTGCCTTTATGGAGAAATTGCCTAATTGTTTTTTTTTTTTTTTTTGATTATTTAGGTCCAATCAAGCAGACTTCAGTATGTATTAAGCTTTAAAATTAAATATAATATCCAAATTCTAAATTATATTATAGAAATATAATGTGGCACAGTTTGCTTTTAAGAGCTTTAATCCATATATATGTATATGATGGTAGTCCATAATGTTAAACCTAGTACCCATTAATTACCAAGGCATTTGTAGTCATGTGTTTTTGATAGCTGCAGCGAAACTTTATTAATTAAAGGTTAGTCATTGCCTTGTGGGAACCTGTTAGATACTGCCCTTAGAAGAATTTTCCACCTGTGGCCAAATTGCCATTCCCCAGGTTGCTTTGTCTTTGCTGAGATAGATCATAAGCTATATTTTGATTCTAGTCTAAAAGCAACTTAGAAGCACACAAAAGCATTGCAGGCTACCACCTGTCTGTTGGCCATTCCTATATTATGGAAGATGTTGTAGATAAGGCAAATAAAGTCGTCGCTTGGGTCCAACTTAAAACTTATTAAAAAAAAAGCCTTAATTTTCAACTTCTGTTTCATGAGACTACTTACTGATTCAGAGTTGACTTCTTGGGTTTTGTGCTTGGATCTGAGCCCTTGAAGACCTGTAATGAAGTCTTTAGCCATACGTAAGCCTTCTCTTTGTAGTAATGGTATTCTGATATTTACACTGTAATAAAAGAAACCGCTTAGTAGTTATTGGATGATTACTATATGCTGAACCTTGGCTAGGTATTTGACATATTAATATATTTTCTTTGACCCTTACTCTAACTTCATAGAGGATGTGGTTTCATTCTCCTTTTACTACATGTGAGATGACTGTAACCCTCAGAGGTTTAGCAACTCACCCAGTGTTGCTTAGTTCATAAGTAGAGTAGCTGGTATTTGAACCCAGGTCAGATCTTGCCAACTGTTCTTTTGTAACCTTCTAGGAACTTACGGTCTTAAGGAGATGGAAAGATTTTATAGAAGAATTTTTTTACTAATATGATCACTTTGAATGTGCTTGGAATGTTAATACGTTCTTAATAGAAACAAAGGTTGGGTGTACACCTGGAATCAGAAAATTTTCAGGGCTTTAAGGTACTGTTAAAGGTACTGAAAAGTACTTTAAGGTACTGAAAAAAAGAAGAGAAAGAAAAATGGTACTGTCTAGCAAAACTTGGTTGGAATTTTAAAAACCAAACAAAATACTGTTGATTGAAAGGCTAAAAATGAAGTTGAGTTTTTATTCTGAGATTTTTATTTCTAGGAGGAAATTTTGATCATTCAAGCCAATCTTCTCATTATCAAAAAGAAAACTGAAACTTATGAGTCAAACCTTATTTACCCAGAGTTTTGATACATTGCTTGACTTTCAGCCCGGTTCCCTCTCTACTATTAGATGCTGCTCTGAATGAGGGAGAAATGGTAGTTGATCAGTGGTGAACAGATAGATTTGTAATTTTAGCTGATTTACTTTTCAGTGAAACTTATGCCTATATAAGCTATGTAGACTTAGCAGTTCATATGCTTTTCTTAAAAAGGGGAGTGTTCTTGCTTTCTCCCCTTTGTGATGTTAACTGTGGCTCCATGGTAACCAAGGGAAAATTAGCAAGTTGATCTGGCAAAATGACTCTATAAGCAGACGATCATTTTATTCATGGGCATTAGCAGGAAAAGTAGAGTGGATACCTTGTTACTCATTGAACTGTGCTCATTTTAAGTTCTGGTGTAATGGATAACCTCAGAAAGCCTGGCCAATCAAAAGGGAGCAGAGCTGCTGTATGGAACATACAGGACAGACTTGAGAATGGTGCCGTTAGTGACCAGGTTGCTGAGCTGAGCAGGTCTGGGTTGATGGGTCACTAGGGTGAGAGTGGATAAGGTCTGGGTTGAGGTATCAAACTTACCCTGGAATTTATGGTGCAAGGAATCATTTCATATGTCTCAGTAGCATTTGAAGAGAAACCTAGTATTTTGCATAGAAAGGAAAGAGTATTGAATTTATATTTTAAGAAAAAGAACTTTATTTCCAATATTAATTAAAAAATAAAGTTCTAGGTACAGGTATTGTACAAAGCTCTAGGAACCCAGAATAGAGAAAATGTTATTCTCAAGAAATATATATTCTAATAGTGAGATAGATTTCTATATAAATAAAGGTCTATGTGACCTTTTTAAAATCATGTGGGCATTATTATGTCAGTATTACGGTTGTGGAATTCTCTTGGGAACTCCTCAAAGCAGTGGATATGTGGTGAAAGTTCCCAGTTGGGAAGGGGTCCTTTCAGTACTAATATGAGCCTGGATGACTACACTGTGAATATTAGCTTGATAGCACAGAATGAGTGAGTGCTTCCTACATGGAAGGAACCGGGCAGGGTTCTGGGACAAGCCAGTGACACAGTCTGTTCTTACTAGTTCTTATTGAGCATGGAATCCAAGGAAGAGACAGAGAGGCATAATTCACTGTGGTGTGTCAGACCAGTAAGTGTCAAGCTAACAAGTTTCCAGGTAATGTTGTACCACTGGTCTAGAATTTAAACTTTGAGAACCACTGGCTTACATTCTAGTTTGATAAGGTTAATCATGGGCTGCAAATTAGAGAGGGAGGATAAAAGAATTCCAGAAGGGACTGAAGAACTGTGAGAACAAATATGGTACCTAGGATTCAGGCTCCAGATGAAGACAAAGCAGGCTTATTGGGTAGGAGGACTTAGATAAGTGGAAGAATTATATTCAGGGCACAGAATTGTAGATGGTGAAGTTTTGGAGGTGGAGCTTTCATATGATATCTATAACATGACCTGCAGCATTCTTCAAAGTACTGGTCTATAGAGAGATAAGGAACCTATACGTGAATAGCTCAGTGTTCTACATTTCTCACTGAGAAAGTCTTGTTACCCTCCCTGCCCCAAAGTCATCTAGACAAACTATGTTTAGTCATGAAGCTGATTTGCATTCTGGAACAAACTGATTATTTTTGCCATGGATTGACACTGTCCAGACCAGAACTGGAACAGAGGCACTGGGCTAGAGTCTAAACTTTGGAGGTGGGTGGAATTAGAGGTCCTTGAAGAGGAAAGATACTGGAAAAGTGATTCCAGGGTGTTGTTTGGACCATCAGGAGAAGAGTTATGCAGAAATACCAGAAAGGGAAATTTCTGGAAACTAGTAGATCGTCATGGGGCAGGAATGGGAGGAGGGCATTAGAGCCACATGGTTCAAAGACTAGGAAGGGAGGGCTGTTGAATGAATGTGCGTGCAGCTGCAGTGAAGGAAGAAGTGCCTGTTGGCCTCCCATGGACGTAGGTGGGCATCATGAGAAGGGATTGTGAGAAGGAACTGTCTTCCCTTAACAGTGCTCATTAGTGATGGCCTCATTGTCTTTGTTTCCGTGATCTTTTTAGGCAAATTATGCTGGAGTTATTTTTTAAGTCTCATCTCAACAAAGAAGAACACAATTTCTTAGTTAACGAGTATAATTAAGCAGTATACTGAGAGAAAAATCAGACTATATTTGAAAATTTTTATTATCTATAGAACTATTTTCACAATTCAAATTATTTAAGTCTGAGCATCTTTTCATAAATATATAAGTTCTTACCCTGTCTGTTTGGTAATCCCATGAAAATTTTAATTATGATTTCCTGGGGTATATGTAATTTTCCCTGCATGTTAAATCTTCAGCCTAATGTTTATAGTCAAAGACTATCAGGGGCTATTAGATAAAAATTTTGAGCTATAGGAATAGGCCATATAGAAAAAAGGTAGGACAAAATCATAGTTGAGAATGTAGGCTCTGAGCAAGCTTGGGTTCATGTGATGGGCTTACTAACAGACTTTGTATTTGGCCTAGTTAGGGGGTCTAAGGCTCTATTTCTTCATCTTTAGAACAAGATAACATTATTTTTCATGGGGTTGTTATAAGAAATAAAGAACTTTCGTACATTACTAAGCCCAGGATCAACCATATAATGAGCACTCCATAAATTTTAGCTATTATTATTAAATTAACATTATTGTTATTATTAAGGGAAAACAGAGGCTTTGGGGTCACAGAAGTCTGGATTTGCATCTCCTTTTTATTAGTTCAGGAAGTTACATGACCTTGAGGAAGCCATTTAATGTCTCTGAGACTTCTGGCACCAATGGGCAGCTGTCAACTACCTTGTGGGGTTGTTGTGAGAATAAACGGTCTATTTATGTAAGGCATTTGCTGTAGTCCTGTAACATAATTTTGGTTAGCTCATGTTTGCCTTACCTTCCTGTGCTTAATGTTTAGGTTTCTTTTTCTTTTTTTTCTAGTCAGGCCTTGAAAAGAGGATAGACCAAGCTGTGGAAGAGTGGAATATTGAGAAGGCTGAAGAACTCAGCAACCAGCTAGCCACCCGAGAGGTGAGTCTTACTGATTATACATTTTCTGCATTGTAAAATAAATGTGCATTCTTTTTATGATCATTACTAAGTTCAGTATTAAAATACTTGATCTAAGATTTTCGCCTTTGTCCGTTTTCTTCCCTCTTACTCCATCATTTGCTTTGAAATGCTAGGGTTTATTTTTGTCTGGAATGTTTTTAAATTATTCTGGTCTAAAATTTATGTTGGAAATAATCCATGATTGATATTCAATCTTAGATTTTTACCTAGATGAGAGAAGTTTTTTTCAGGTATGATTAAAAGGCTAGCTTTCTTTTTCCATTTGCATCTTTCACTCAGCTTAATTCTCCCTAACGCAACTATATATTTTAAAATCACATCCTTCAACCTTTTTTTAATTCCTTCTAAAACACTTGCTTTATTATATTTGGCATATCTCCCTTGGCCCTAAAGAATTTTCAGGCTTTTTTTCTATAATATAAAACTAGAGATAATGTTGAATATTGTTTTTCCAGGAAGACCACAAAAAGATTCTGACTTAAATTCCTGGTGCAGAGGGTAGTATTCTGCTAGTTGAGAGTTAATATCACATAGGGATTAAGAGCTCATGTTGGCTTGCATTTTCTTGTTGTTCTTTGTGTTTTGTCATAGCTTTTGTCTTTACTATAGCTTTATTTTTGGTGCCTGGATCCTTACCTCCTTCACTTCGTACTTAACCTCTCACTTCTCTATGGTGTTCAGTTACGTAGAGAGCATATGTAGTTATGGGTTATCTGTGTAAACTCCTGGCCATGCTGACTATTGTAACTCATTTGCACTTGAACTTTTTTCTTCAACTTAGATGAGAAAGGTAAGCTTATGATTGCAGTCAATTATTTTTGCATTTTTGCATCATTAGATACAAAAAAAGTCTACTACTAATGGCTGTTTGTTGTGATTTTTGTGTTTTTCTTTTTTCCTTATTCACCACTTACCTTGTGAATTTTACATTTTTATATAGAAAAAACAAGTTCCAAAAAGGAATTCAGAAACTGTTTTTTTCTTTAAGCCCTTGTAAATCATTTGTCACATTAAATACTTCTGAGGACTGGCACTGTGGGAGGCTGAAGTGGGAGGATTGCTTAAGGCTAGAAGTTTGAGACCACACTGGGCAACATAGCAAGACCCCTGTCTCTTTAAAAAAAAATTAGCTGGGTGTGGCAGTGCTTACCTGTAGTCCCATGTACTTGGGAACTGAGGCAGGAGGATCTCTTGAGCCCCGTAGTTTGAGACTGTAAGGAGCTATGATTGTGCCCTGTTACTCCAGCGTGGCAACAGAGTGAGAGACCCTTTCTCAAAAAAAAAAAAAAAGAAAAGAAAACTCAAATCCCACTTTGTGTATAATGTGTGAATGTGTGTGTGTGAGAATGAGAGAGAGAGAGAGAGAGAGTTAATGGCTAATATAAAGGAAATTATAACTCTATGGGCTTCTGTTAAGGGCATAAGCAAGAAGTAGCATAAATGCCAGTTACGTGGCCTTTCACACAATAAACTGACATTTTGTATGAAGTATTTTTTATTGTGAGAAAATATGTATAACATAAAATTTGCCATTCTATCTACTTTTAAGTGTACAGTTAAGCGGTATTAAGCACATTGACATTGTTACGCAGCCATCACTACCATCCATTTTCAGAACTCCTTTTATCTTGCAGAGCTGAAACTCTTTACTCATTAAGCAGTACCTTCTCATCCTCCTCTTTACCCAGCCCTTGACAGCCACCACTCTGTCTCTCTGGATTTGACCATTGTAGGCACCTCATAAGTGGCATTATATACTGTTTAGTCCTTTTATGTCTGACATATTTCACGTAGCATAGTGTCCTTGGGTTTCCTCCGGGTTGCAGCGTGTGTTGCTTTTGTTACATTCTGGGTCTGTTTGTTGCATTCTCTTTATGCATTCATCCTTCAGTGGACACTGGAGGTTGCCTCCACCTTTTGACTGCTATGAGTAGTGCTGCTGTGAACCTGGGTGTCCATCTGTTTGAATTCCTGCTTTCAATCGGTTCTTTTAAGTGTAAAAGAATTTCTGGATCATAAAGTGTTTTAATGTTTACTTTTATGTCATTTTCCCTTTCCCTTCTTAGAGTATTTCTTGTGCTTGCAATTTGATACTCTATTTCATCTGTTAAGTAGTCCTATTTTGATTTACTGAGTATAGCTTTCATTGTATATTATAGCGTTTTATGACTCTTTTAGAATAGAAAGAATAGAAATACTTCATTTTTATAAAGTAAATTTGAAAGCATATTGAATGGTGACACAAACTCTGGAGGATTTCAGTATTAATTGTTGGTTATTACAGTGGCTGTTTCAGTATGAATAAGATAGGGGTCCTTATTCCGAACTGTATGAGCTATATGCCAAAAATCATCTTTGAAATTCTATTCGACAAACATGGCATCTATTGTTTGTTGCTAAGAAGACTGTTTTGGCATTGCAACTTACGTTTCTATAGAAGTTCTGTTAGAAATAGTGGCTTTGTTTCTTGGCCAGCTTCAAAGAGTAGTTACTTTCAACTTGAAAGTATAGCAAAATTATACCAGTAGTATATCTAATCTCCAGATTTTGGAGTTGGCCATGAAAATGTCAGGGAATGATGGGGAGGGCCAGTGCTTGTGGGGTTGCCAGAGACTTCAGTGGGTGGATACCTGTCACGGCTGTAAGGGTGGGGGAGTATAGTGAGATGATGGGGATAGTGAAGAGTGGCTTAAGATCTAAGAGGGACTGAAAAGCATATAAGGCCTGGTAACCAACCATGGCGGTATGGAAAGTGGCCTGAATATCTGCCTCATTTGGATCAGGAACAAAGCCTTTTAGAGAAGTGGTACTTAACTGCGTTATGTTGATGAAGTACTCCATGTTGTGCCACATGGTGAATAAGTGCTGCTTAATCCATTTACAAATTCTGGGAATATGTTACTGGTTGCTGTCAGATGCTGCCTGGTCTCAGGTCTGCTAGATTAAAGCTTAAGGTGGGCACATAAGAAAACCCAGCACAGCTATATGGTATAGAGTATGGTTGCCCTTTTGTTTTTATAATAGAAATGTCGTGGATTTCTCTCTTCACCAGTCTCTTCAGGATCATGGGACTCAACAAAATTGTGTTTTATTACCATTGTGGGACCAGCCTTCCTTTGGAAGACCCAGGAGTTATATATTATGTTGTCTCTTCCAGACAGCAAGGTGACTGACCAGCAGGGTCCCTCAGGTTGGTTAGTTTCCTCAAATATCCACCTTGCTAAAGTAAGAAAGGGTACAGCAAAGCCTAGTCTGCAGTGTTAAAATATGGGCTCTACGGTTGTTTTTCTTTGTATTTTTCTCTATGTATTAGTACCCACCAGGGGAATTCACAGAGAAGCATTTATTTTACTGCAGGGTCTATGCTTCTTTTAATATAGTTAGTAATGCTGAAATTTTGAGATAAACACATTTTATTCTTTCTTTAGAAGACCTCGTATTTTTGAAATTATTTTAGACTTTGAAAAAGTTGTGAAATTTGTAAAGATTTCCTATTTATCCTTTACTTGCGTACCTGAAGTATTAACATTTTACAGCATTTGCTTTCGTTTTCTCTAATGTATGCACTTCATTGAAATTTGCCAGTCGTTCCAGTAATTTTCTTTATGGCAAAAAGAATTTTCTCTTTTTTGGTCTATAACTTTGCATTTTGTTGTCATGTTTCTTTAGTCTTCTTTAATTTGGACTAGTTCTTCAGTCTTTGTTCTTAAGCCCTTAACATTTCTAAAGAGCAGAGGCCAGTTATTTTGTAACATGTCCCTAAATGCTGGTTTGTATAATGTTTCCTTATGATGAATTTCAGGTCATGCATTTTTAACAGGAAAATCACGGGAGTGATGCTGTGTCTTCATCAGTATAAGCTATCCACAGGCACATTGTTCTGTTTGTCTCATTTATAGATGGTGTTACTTTGATTATTTGGTTAGGGTGGTATCTCTGGGTTTCTCTACTGTGAAGTTACTATTTTTCCCCTTATAATAAATACGTTATGAGCAGATGGGAAATGATTTGAAACTGTAAATATTCTCTATACAATTATACTTTTACTCACAGTTTCAACTTCCATTGCTGATTCTTTTCTTCCTTGGGGCAGTTACTATTATGGTGATTGCAAAATGACTTTAGATCTTTAAAATGTGATTCAGTCGTACTTTTCGTCTTTACCAGGCAAACTAAATCTAAAATTTGGCTGAAGTGAAATATTGGATGATAGAATCTTTTATGTATCCGATTTTTACTAAATCTCTCAGTATATCTGGACAATCAAGAGTTGAGTGCAGTATTGCTTAATGACACACTGGGCAGGAACGGGGTTGCCGTATGACATTCTGCCTACCAGTGCCTGCTGGTAACGCTGCCCTTGTCTGCCTCACTAGGATTCACTGGTGAGCTGCCTTTGTGAGTGCAGTTTGAAGCTGCTTGTCACAACATACTGAAGTAGTGCCTTAGAGGCTTCAGAAATGTGTGTTTTCTTTTAGGAGATTAAGTTTCTATTTTGGTGTTTTGTCATACTCCTATTTTAGAATGGAAATTGTATAGTACTGACTAAGTATTTTCCATTTTAAGGGCTATCTCCTATCACAGTTTATGGCAAATGAGATTGCTTTAGAAAAACATGGTATTTTCAGCACTTGTAAAGATAGTAAACATTTTTCTCAGTGTCATTTTTACTTCTACGTAAATATAATGCTTTCTTATGGTTAAGTAAATTTGTTTGGTGTAGAATTATAGAATTTTAATTAAAAGAAAGAACAGTAATTTGAGCCCTGTTCTTTTCCTTGCATAAGTGGGAAAACATCTGGAAAAATATTTGCTGTTCAGGCATAGCCTTTGCAAAGATACTCATGTCATATTCATTAATCACCAGGGAAAAATAATCAAGATGGAATTCTTGAATGAATAGATTAGTTTATGATTTAATTTTTTCATATTTTTCCCCTTGATGCCAATCATTACAG